ATGGGTTCGATTCCTGTCGGGGACTCAGAATTTTTCTTTGTCCCACGCTCGTGTCATGTTGATTAATTCACCTTCACATTTCATTACCAAGCTTAAAAATTCACCATCTTTATTAACTTAATAATAATATTAGCCTTAAAATTAAACGATATAGGCCCATATATTAAGTGATTACTAAGGCAAGTGGGACTTTGCAACACACAAAATAATAGTCAAAAATCTGTGGAATGTTTCCAATCTTCCTCCTGATCACTTTGCAACGAGGACGGAAATGTGATATTGAAAGTGCAAATGGGATGCAAAATGAGATCAAATGAAGTTTTGGAGGAAATGAAGATTGCATGTTAGAGACTAGTAGGCATTTACTGCTCGTGGAGCCCTTTGAGGGATTGCTTATGGCCAGTTCCCTCTATGAGACAGGCCTGCAGGTAAGTCTTCTAATCATTAAAAAACAAATATCCAGTCCAAGATGATGAATACAACTACCATGATTCCCTGCAGGCACTTCTCATAGAGGAAATTGGCCATTGAAAGTTACATTGGAAGAGCATTGGCAAACCAAATCATCACAGAAAAAGCTAGCAGTGAACAAGAAACTTTAAATGAAGTGTAAATACACTTTGGGGTCTTGACATTTTCATAAAAAGTGTGACAATTAATATAAATAAATAAATAAATCAATAAATAATATACAATTATTTTTAAATGCACAAATTTCATAAAAAATGTTCAAAGGTGTAAAAATGATCAGCAGTGAAAGAGGTAAAACATTTGTTGAATATACCACAATCTCAATTATCTAGTCCCTGCCTAGGTATATCAATTTTGCAAAGCAGTGAAGAATACATTTAAAGTGTATTTCAAAAAAAAACAAACAAACATACAGAATTCGTACTGGTTAAACTCTTAATTGAGTTTCATTATAACAGCACAACATTACTTTCATGTAAAACTCTTTTTACAAGTAAAAAAATACTCCTTTGTTATGGTTTAACATGTAAATGTTAATTAATGTTTTGGTTTCTCAGTCTCTTCAGTTTACATATGATGTTAATGCAGGGTTTCATTAAAGGGCTGGGCACCAGGCAAATTCACCAGCTGTGAGGATGACTTTGCCTGGCTGGTTTTCAACCAAATGGAGGAAAGTTACTCTCATAAAGATGTTCAGTTAAAAAAAAAATTGCCCACCTGTGAAAACCAGTTGCCCTTCTGCTGAAAACATTAATGAAACCCAGGTGTACTATGGTGCCATCATGGTAGAGTACAAAGCAATGACGTAACATGATCACTAACAATAATTTACATGCTGTTCAGTGGTATATTGTACTGAGATTTGAGAGTCCAAAACACTGCACACCTAATATGAGACAGTGGCAGATCTGGAATATAGCCCGAGAGGAGGGGAGGGCAAGCCCCCTACCCTCTTATTGGTGAAATTATGTAAGGTCTGTAAGGCCAAACATTTTTTGGGCAGTCACCTTAATTTATAGCCTGATAAGGGCTACAAAAAGTTAGGGGTCCCCACCCTATAAAGAAGAAGGGTCTGGGTCTGCCACTGTGAAACACTGTTTACACCTAATTAACCTGGGAATTAGCCTTCATGCACTATTGGCTGCCTACCCATCTATCTATGACTTGAATCACATCATGTCTTCCCATTTTTTTCAGCAAGGGAATGAGGTGTTCAAGTGTTCCAGAATTTGGCAAGACTGAAAACACTTGCATAAGAATAACATAAGATGGGTTATTACATTTCTGTTTGAGGGTTTGGATTTGTGTTGAATTCAGCCCAAGTTCACTTCCAAGCCTTGTATAATCATTTCCATCTATTAAATATCTATCCAAATCTAGCAGAGTGCACATTTCATTAATAACAAGTGAAGGTACACATGTTATGTGGGTCGCATAACCTCTGTTTCCTTCAGTAGATTGGGCTGTTGGTGTCACAGTCGAACTAGGAGCACACATTGTTCCCTGGTTTACTGGCACTGGCATTCCTGAACTTGATGCAGGAACAACCAAATTGTTATCGCAAGATGTACTGTTTAAGTCACCAAATGGAGACACAGAAGCTATGAGACAGATCAATGAAGAAAAAATTGTCAAACAAATGTGTAAGAAACTTTGGATTTTTATTAAGTATTTTAGTTAATCTCAAGAGTTACCTGTACAAACCTACAAAACGAATAAATGCTTAACTTCAAAATTTCAGAAATTAGAATTTGGCTCTGATCACATATTCATGCAAAATCAAATAACAATGTGCAGGACAGACATTTTTGTAAACAAAGAGAAGGAGATTATTTGCCTATTTTAAAAACACCTAAAAATCCATCTTACAGATTTTTATTTCATTTTGCTCAAGTGTTTAATCAGAACCAATTTCTTCTTTCTGAAATAATGAGGACAGGTCCCTCAGGCAGATTTGAGAAAAATGTTTTGACCAGACCAGTAGCTCCCAGCCTTACCATGGCCACCTGCCTGTTCATTTTGGCTATTTACTAATAATGTTAATATTTGTATTGTTCAAGTGTCAAATATGATGGTTGAAGACTTAAACTTGAGAAATGATAAACAACTTGGAACATTTTACAAACAATTTAAAAGTTGGCCGGGGTCATTTACTCCTTCAAAACCACCATAAGCCACCTTGACAAACAGTTGACTTGTTTTTACCTGTGCCTTTCATAATCTGTGATAGGTCATGAATATTGATGACCACATTAACAGCTGTGTTGTTGCCAGATGGCATCTTGTTTTTCACATCAACAAGTGCATCCAGATTGTCAGAGGGAACCACTGTCCCATCCTTTGATGCAATAACAGAGCCATCCTGAACATCTTTAGGCAAATCACATGGCTGATTATGCCCTAAAAAGTAATAAAAAGAAAATATGCCTTACCAAAGGCTATCTTGAGGAACAGAATATTGCATAGTGAAATTCAGCGTGTGCACACACAAAATAGAGAATTTGGAACATAGACCATTTGATTAGAAACATATTAGACCTTGAGAACCAGCTGGTATGTTGCTGTTTTAAACTACCCCATCTGATCATAGCAATAACAGTTTTTCTCTCCAACACCCCCACGGAGGTAAACTAGGCTTCATATAACTTTGCAATGAGAACAAATACTGCATCCCCTGCTATAATGAGAGCCTAATACATCCCATGAATCCTGTTCTACCACAGAGTAGACTGTCCACAGATCCTCTATTTTGCCTTGAGATTGTCAAGATCACAATAAGTAAGAACATTTACTACTGGGGATTTGAAAACAGCCTGAACACAAGGGAGGGGAAATGGGGAAAGACAAATAATATTTTTGTGCCAGCTTCACAGCCTCTCTCATACTCCATTTTCGTGCTGCTAGCATGCTCAAAGAAAAGTAATTGGTGGCCAAAAATAAATGTCTCCCTGACAGACTATCACAGAGAGGAGGACAGAACTTTACTGATGTATATCAGAGATGAAAAAGTGATATTAGGGAGGGAAGTGATTAGGTGTTTTGGCATTTCTCTGGGACCATATTGCACTAACACTAGCAAGTTACAGTCAGAGAAATATGTGAACATACATACCCATACTCCTCCCCCAAAAAAGGTTCTTTAGTTTTGAACCTTCCACCCATCAATAACCTTTCACCTATTGGCACTAATGTATGGAGGAGTAGTAGGTTCCACCTTCTTTTAAATTTTGGATTTCGAAATTGCATTGCAACTTTCATTTATTTACTATAATTTTTCACTGGCTTAAGTATGGGTAAACTACATCTATTTTACCCAACCAATTTACCTTGACAGATGCAATTTCTTTGTTCATTTTTTTGTTCATCTTCAAGAGATGATGGAATCCCTGTTGCTGTTGTGTCTTCAGGAATTTGATCACCTACTATGGCCCTACCATCCTGATGGACTGAGTCTGCAGTTAGATTGGACTTGTCTTCTGAACCACGTAAAGAAGATGATAACACAGGTTCACTACTATTTCTTTCTTCAACAATTTCACTGCATTGTGTTTTATCCATATTAAGCTCATCAACACAAGAGGTCTCACATGAGTTACAGCTCTCTTCATTATTTCCTTGTTGGCTTTCTTCAATAGTGCCTTTATTTAACTCCGAAAATCTAACAGGGTCGTTATTTATTCGACGAGTCCTGGAGTTCTTTAATGTGTGGTATAGAAGACACAGTGTCACACAAGTTGAAAGACACACACACATGATGATTGATACTGATATAATAATTTCAGTTTTCTTACTGGAACTCTTATGAGTGTGGTCATCATTCATTTGCACTGGCACTGTGGCTTTTGAAGTGGGTGTCGTCATCTCATGCTCTAATACACTTGTTGATGTAGCGCTCATCTGTCGGGTTCTTGTAGGAAACAAAGACATAGAAGTAGCATAATGTGAATGGGAAGATGTTACTAAGGATGAGACTGATGATGTACTGTACGTAATAATAGAAGACCTTGCCATCTGCTGTTCACCTTTATCCTTCTGACATTTTGCAAAGATGTCTTTATCCCCCAAGCAGCTTGGGCAGGAACTACAGGGAAGACATTTATCATTTGTCTTGTTCCAATAAAACCCTGCTTTGCAATCACACTTGACATCACTTTCACACGTGCATTTGTTAAGTACATGTTCATGTTCACCTGCACACTCTCCACAAGGTTGACATTGATCAGTACCAAAACTGTCTGAGAAATTTGCACCATTGACACAAAGCACGCAGTGAATTTTTGTGCCTTCAGGTACAGTTGCTCCACATTTGACAGATGAACCATGACCATCTAAACATTCTGGACAAGGCCAGCACTCTACACATTTTCCTGTTGAGGGATCAATAGTTTTGATGTATTGGCCACTGCAGTTTGGACACTTATAACCTTTACTGACTGATGAGAAGGTAAGAAATACCTAAGAATAAAAACACAGTAATAAAATCAAACCCTAACTACTTCTCAAATAAAACAATCAGCAAACGTTATAAATACCCTAATCATAACAATTACAATTTCCTCAAATGTGATTTGTGCATAAACTGCTGTATTTTGCTCTAATTAATCTGCAAAGTTGTAATCGGACAGTGTAATCAGACAGTTGGCTGTAATCGGACACCTGTAATCGGACAGTTACATGAGCCAATCATTTTAAGTCCTCTCCACTAAATCCACCAATCACAACATTGATTATAATCACTTTAGTAACTACTTATTGAGACTGACTTTGTAAAATTGTGGAGGTTTAGTCTGCGGTGACTGTTTTGAAAGAGACTTGACAGCCATTTTGCGAGCTGTTCACCAAATTTTATAATTATATTTAAAATGACAATTAAAAGCTCTTTTTCAAATGAAACTTTACTTTTGTGGGAAATTGTAATTGTTATGATTAATTGGTAACAGAACATCGTGTCGTCCAATTCAGTCTGTAATCATACTCGTGATTAACAAATCGGACTCCCACTTCGCGGTCGTCCAATGTAATCGTATGATTACAGACCGAATTGGACTCCGCTCAGTCCTATTACCATTATTAATCAGAAGACAAAGATCCCAGCATCGACTTCAATGAAGATCAAAAGGCCAACCAGTTGATATACAAAGTGTAAACTTAAACTTAGATCGAACCCAAATTGAAAACTTCTCTCGATCTGTGACGTACAAACCTGTAAAACTGACCAGTGACAAACAGTTTAAACTGCAGGAATATAATAGCTCCAAAACAGTACAGGTTTACTGATTTCAGAGCTGGATAAATCCGAAAAGTGTTTAGTCAGTGTTGGGCAGGCACTCAAGCTGTTTAAAAACAGCGGAGTAACAAAACCCAGCGACCCGTTATAAAACTTAACTCTGTATAAAACAAAACTTATATCTGTACAGACAAATCTGTGTTGGCCCCATAACTCTAGAACGCGCGACAAAAGAACGAAGCGCCATATGGGATCGTATCCCGAAAGCGAGGCTGTGCAACGACAAATGCTTTCATCGTAATATTAAACTACCACTGAGGGCCAACCAAGTACGGCTGCATAAATCGGCTGAATAGCTTATATATGCGGACAATTAGAGTTTCGAATGAGTTACGTTTGCGCAATAAAACTTACCAAAATCGTTAGAAGTATTTTCCCTGAAGTGCACTGCCTCTTTCGCGAGGGGGTTTCACAACAAATGAAGCTCATCGTCCTGAAGCGGAAAGCGGAAAAAGTACAAACAAGTGCAATCAATATTTTTGAAAGATCATTAAGTTGCATTGACTGCAGTAAACATCCAAGTTGCTCTTTTTTAAAGTCGATTACAAACTGCAGATTTATATCATGTCGTAAAACCGATGTCTGTCACTACCTCAGTATAAACATATGTGATATAAAACGGAAAATGAGGATATTTCAGACAGCCACGTACTATCCCAAACAATGAGACCTTTTGCAGGCGACCGTTCTAATATATATTGTGCAATATATTTAAATTGCGTGTCTCTCAGTTGCCCGCCAGGGATTCCCCTGCTTCATTTCATCATCATAGTCATAAGAGAACTCACGTATTTCCAACTTCGAGCCTAGTAGCTGCTTATTTAGAAATAAATCCATTGAAACTGTAGCATCTTCCAGAATGCTATGCATTTTTTTAAATGAAAGTGACCAAATCCCTTTTCTTCGTACGAATTTTGTTTACTTGGCAGTAAGTTAAAGGACGAATCAGTTTCTGCTGACTTAGCGCTTTTTGTGCCGGTCCAAAAGGTTAAGTTAAATAATTTTCTCCTTTGTCAGAAAATACATACCAGTTGGTGACGCATTTCCGCTGTCATTCTAGACTTTTCGATCTAGCTCATCAAAATTTCGCATAAATTGAAAATTCTCTTGCGAGCATGACAATAGTTGTGAATGTTCCCTATTTTAGGCATGACATGGGGCAGGCATTGCCCCCTGGAATCGCATAATTGTCTTTGTAAAAATTGGGAAGTTTGGGGTGCCACATTTCAATGAGTTTTTAGTGTAAACAGCCGTAGGAAGGAGGACTATTCTCGACTATTAAGGTTAGAATATTGAGAAAGGTACTCCAAGTAAGCAAAATGCTAGTTCCTGATCGAAAACGTGGCCTTTAGGCGGATTCTTATGAAACTCCGCACGTTTTTCGGCATGATAAACTTTCATTGAAATTCTCTTCACAGACACTTCGAAAACGCACAGAAGCGGCCCCCAGCACATGCTGCTACGCTACTCACTATATATCACACAGAATAGAACGTGAGTAGCGCAGCCAACCAGAGGACGGCATTCGTGATAGGACGCTAGTAGATTTACACTGAAACACGATTTTTAACCAATCAGCGTACGTATTTTGTTAGGACTGTTTTCTAAACGTACATGTAGTCAATACCTCGCTGTAAAATATCTTCAAGAAGGTGCAACCAGGAATCACAACGAAATTAACATTCTCCGTCCATTTAACTTCAAGTCTTTTAAGTTGCACTTGAGGTTCAGTCCAAGGCTTTATCTGCTGGTGTTTTGTAGCAAACGATGTGATGTCTACTGCTCGGGCACGTTGCCTTTTATGCTACAGGCGCGTCATGTGAAAATGCTATATACCTGGAGTTGCTTCCGTGTTTTAAGTTTTGTTATGAAAAAAATAATTCTTCATTTTTCTCTCAATTCAGACACGTGCGGAAACGCGGAAGTGCTCGATAACCAATCACAATTAGCCAAATAAAACTGAAAATTAAGGGCAGCAAAAAAGAGTCACGTCCACTGTTTTGCTGAACAGCAACTGCGCTATTGAATAAAGCTCTTGACAACTGCTGAAACGAAGACAATCTTCTATTATGTTAATTGTAAAGCGAAATCATGTTCTGATCTAGATATCTCGTGAGTACGCTCGCACAAATTTCACTCTTCAAGTACATTTTACATCCAAGAAAAATCCCTTACTCATTGCTAAATTTAACTAGCTTGTCTTGTTTTAGCGTGTTTCTATCGAGCTGTAGAAACACGATTTTTAAACAGTCAGCGCGCGTATTTTCTTAGGACTGTTTTCTAAAAATTTATGACTCATTAATGGAAACGTCATAACTGGATATTGCGATGTCTGGATGTGAACTTCTTTGTTATGGCTAATTCGCTACTTTCTTTTCTGTTAACTTTTTTCTTTAGCAAATTCTGGGCAAGATTATAGTAAAAGAAAAAACCGAAGGCAAATTTAGTTCATTACAAGTTCAGGAAAAAAAAAAATTTTTTTATCGGCAAGAGATTCAGCAGGTAAAGCTACAATTTTTATTACAATTATTATTATAATTATTATTATTCTCATTATCATTCTCATTCTCATTCTCATTCTCATTCTCATTCTCATTATTATTATTATTATTATTATTATTATTATTATTATTGTTATCATGATAATTATTATTTTCAAGCGCAGGTGTTGATAAAACCATGCAATGCGGCAAAAATAATCTATACGATTTTTGTCCACTTGTTTCTCTTTTGAAGCCTGACACTGAAAAAAAAAAACATTTGAACATCGCTACCCTTTTGTGTCTCGCGGTATTAAATTTTTATATTGCCTGAAGGAAAGACTGTATAATATTTTAGTCCAAAGATATTTAAGGCTATCAAGGGCTTTGTGACTCCTGGAATTGTAGGCGGATGTTACCCAGGTTACCTACCTGAGCACGTCGTTTAAGCCGTGAGGGGTCAACCGTAACAGTCTTTCTACAAATAGATAGTTTTAAAAATATTCTTCCGTTACTCTGCTTCTCCTGTTGACCGCGTGCGCTCATTTTAGTGATCGGTCTGAGAATTGTACGTTTTTTTGAATACCAGTCTAGCCCACATTACCGATATCATGAATATTTTCACCGATGACAGTGATTTCGGACGCCAACGTTTTTATTTTTCGCCTCGTGGTGTCCTCGCAAAAGCCGTATGGCGTGTGCCACACGCGATGCACAATTTGTCTCAAAAAATTTCTCGTTCTCTAGCAAGGTGAAATGTTCCATACCATGCCTCGTCACACAGCCAAAAGTTAAAGTTCATTTTCTGGACTTAGGTCGACTTAAGAAAGGTGAGTATCAACGAGGTAAAATTCAAAGAGCCGTAAGCTCCCTCTGGTATCGGAAAAATGGCCATACAAAAACTGGTCATGCATGGTTACCGGGTGACTCAAATAATAACTGTGAAGGTTGGAAAGCAGGAGGTCATGCATGTTTGACTTATTTTTCACTCCCTTGTGCAACATGGTACCGAGCAAAGCTGTTTGAAAATACTTAACTGGATGACAAAGTAACTACGTAAAAAAAAAAACACACAAAAGTAAAGTTTTATAGATGTAGAAATTCTAATAAAAAGTTTAATTGTCTAATTTTACAAATTATTCAACTTTTTTAAAACAGTATTTTTTACATTAAAGTACCTTCATTTTAAAGTACATGTAAACAAAGTTTCCAAGCTGCACATTACAAGGTACTCAGTATTAATAATATAGCACTAACGATACGAATGTGTGTCCTTGGCTGGGGACATTGAGTTGTGTTCTTGGGCAAAACACTTTACTCTCACAGTGCCTCTCTCTGCCCAGATGTATAAATGTGTACCAGTGAATTTAAAGCTGGGGGTAACCCTGGGATGGACTAGCATCCCATCCAGGGAGGAGTAGAAATACTCCTAGTCGCTTCACGCTACAGTCACAGGAGACAAGTGACGGTACGACAGGCCACTTGGCTCATGTATAGACTTTATCTTAACCTAACAATGTGAACACTAGCTACAATAATACTATGTTTTTATTTTAATCAACAACTTCCCTACACAAATCAGTTACGACCCTGCCTCTAACAATGTGCTAACAGCTTCGCTGCTTGTGCCACAGTGCACGAGAGCCTGCTCGCAGGCTAACATTGTGCAATATTTTAAAACAGAAAGAGTGCTATCTGGTGGGAACCACTAGAGGTGTGGCAGGAACCTGGAGTAAAAAATATAGGATGCAGGAAATTAACCTCTCCCC